AAAAAATTGGTTGGTAGGTTGCACAAGCCATCCAACACACATCTAACAGTGAATCACCATTGTTAAGTTCAACCTATTCACAACCATTCATATCTTTTAACCTGCATTAACAAAATGTCACGTAGGATGTAGTGGGGGATTGGTCTGGGTAAGAAAAAATTTGGAGATCTATTTGGGTAAGAAAAAAATAGAGAGGATCGATTTGTGTAAGAAAAAAATCAAAGGAGTAGAGGATCGATCTGTGTAATAATAAATTTGAAGGATGGAGGTCAAGATCGGGGTGGTGATTCTCTGTACGTCATTTATTACCAAAATTCTACCAGATTATTTGTTGATTATAACTATTTATTTAGGTTATTGTGCACCTATTTGATGAAAGACCATTTGATGGTCAAATCGAGTCATATGACTTTCACTATAAATTGTCATAAGGATTCAATCAAACAAACCACTTCTAATCGCATCTATGGCTCATCTAAGTGATTCTATCAATGATTGATCTGAGCCAACTTTTCATAAACTACGTTAATCGATTGAAAAATAGTTAGATCTAACCTTCTGACAACAATTTAATAGGAAGTCTTTATAAGATATATGAGTCGTAGTTAGTAACAATTTATCACTACTCACACATAAAGCAGTTCCAACTGTTCCCCTCTAGCCATGAACTGTTTTTGCTATTTCAGAAGAGGAAATCATATTTTTTTTGGCTAATATTCGATATTATGTCATATTGTTTCATTGCTTTTTGTAATAGACGTAGCCTTTCTCCCTTTCCTTTTCTTGATCGTTTCTTACTTCTTAGATGATCTTTTGTTCTTCTTAGCTCGGGCAGCTGCCTCATCTACTTTTGCTTTGTTATTCTGTCAAATTAAAATATTTAGTTAGGATTTAGGGTTTAAATGTAACTTGTAATGCTTAATTTTATTAAAAAATGACTTGTATTAGTTACCTTTTTTTCTTCTCACATATGTCCCAATGTTGTGGGACATCTCCCATTTCTTTCATCTTCTCCTTGCAGTTGGGGCATTCCCAATCTGAATCGGTTTCACCTTGCATTTAATTTTTTTTTGAAATAATTAGCTTTTAAAAAATTCAAAATATTATTAATCCGTTAAAAGTAATTTTGTCATATTCAAATAATGTATATATTTCTATATTTATAATATATTAATATGAATTATACTTTTTATAAATATTCAGAAATCATCTCAAAAGATTTTATTTTTAACTAAATATTTTGTTAATTAGTTTAATATAATTAATAGATTATCTTTTTTGGTTGATTAGCTTATAATTAAATTAATTATTTTATTTTGTTAAGATTAAGAAACTTGTTAATTAATATATAAATATTAATTTGTCTTATTTAATTTTTAACCGATTTACCAATTAATTTACTTTGGCTACGTTTTAAACTCCAAATGGCTATAACTATAATTTAATTGGCTAAATCTTAAATTCAATTCTAACCACACACCCCATTTTCAACCATTTTTTTAGCCCAAATACCTCTTAAAAATAAGCACAACACCAATTTCAGCCCAACCCAACTTTCTCATTCACAATACATAGTACATACATTTTACATAAAATACGTATACGTACACGAACCGACCCCAACACCTATACGTTACTCTTTCCTTACGCAAAAGAGAAGCTAAAAATCTACAGAGGTTAAAAAAATTTGAGGAAAATCGTTCTTCAACCTTTAAACTACAGAGATATTCAATTTTTTCCTCTCGATCACTATTCATTGGGTTAGGAGCAGGTGGTTGAGGGTAGGGGTGGTAGGTTGGTGGGGCAAAAAAGGCCAATTTATTTTAAAAAAAAAAAAATTGGGTGTGCGTGATTGGAATAGAATTTTTTTAAAAAAAATTGTGTCAAATGGGGTGGTTCATCGGATGAGGGGTGATTGGAATGGTTTGGACTTTGGAGAACAATGCATTTGTTTTCTCTATCTTTATTAGATGAGTCATTTTTCGTATTTTTAAAAACTTGTTTACCATAGAAAAATATTTTTTGACCAACCATAGTATAGTCAAACATACTATGTTTCACGAGTAAAAAATTTATATCGAATAATATCAAAATTAGTGTTTTATTATTATTATGTTTTCAAACTTGTCTAATAATTTCTTTAACCAAATTAATATTTGTTAATCTCTTGATTATTGGTGATCATGTGTTTGTCATTTCTTACTAAAATTTTATCAGATTATTTATTAATTATAACTATTTATTTAGGTAATTGTGCACCTATTTGATAGAAGACCATTTGATGGTCAAATCGAGTCATGTGACTCTCACTATAATGTTACTGCCATAAAGATTCAATCTAACACACCACTTCCAATTGCATCTATGACTCGTCTAAGTGATTATATCAACGATTGATCTGCGTCAACTTTTCATAAACTATATTAACCAGCTGAAAAATAATTAGATCTAACCTCATGACTTCAATTTAATAGGAAGTATTTGTAAGATAGATGAGTCGTAGTTAGTAACAATCCATGACTACTCATACATAAAGCAGTTCTAAATGTTTCCAAATGTTCCCGTTAGCCAGAAATCTAATTCTAATAACCCATACAACTAACTTACAACCATTGTATAATCTCAGCATCTCAAGCACAACTAGTGTGGTATCAACACTACCATTGGACACTCTCTTTCAAATCCTGTAGTATTAAAAGAATTTAGATTAGTACGTTTAAGACACTAAAGAAAAGAAAAATTCTGAAAGAAAAGGAAAATTAATATCAAATTCAAAGGTAAAATTGAGTAGTTAAAGTCTAAATTACTTCTTAAATATGAATAAAATAAAATAGTGTTAAGCGGTCTCTCTTTGAACTGCTTCTGCTATTTCAAAAGAGGAAATCATTCTTTTTTACTAATATTCGACATTATGCCATATTTGTTCGAAGGGTTTAAGGGGCTTAGGCAGTAAAAGAAGTAAGAAGACGAGCAAATAGGACATTGATGTGTATTTTTTCTTTAGAAAAATAATTTTTATAAATATTTTGTTTAATATGTATTGTGATCCCAGACAAGCATTAATTTAAGTGTAATTTAAAGAAATCTCATACCTTTTGGGCAAATAATATCATATCTCATAAATTTCTTCAAATACAAAAATCTCTTATTTTCCATCGCTTGTGTATACATTTATCTGTTGTCGGATACATTGGTCTTGCTCGCAAATACATTTCTCTATTATCGGATGCATTTCAAACTATACATTATTTAAGCTTTTGTTGCGTCATATACAATCCTCCATTATCGGATATTGGGATCTCTACTCTGTTATTAGATACATTGATTTTCATGGATAAATTCCTCTATTGTTGAACACATTGCAAACGATGCAATACTTAAGATTTTATTATGTCGAATACATTCCTCTGTTGTCAGATACATTGATCTATACTCTATTATTAGATAGATTAATTTCAAATACATAGCTTTTTAGATAAATAATAGTGGATATATGTATTGGGTACTACAATATAATGAAATTTGTCATAGTTATATATCATAATTATTACTTATATATCAAATAATAAGTAATGATATGGGATGTCTCTGAGATTAGGAGAGAGAGAATGAAAAAAGAGATTTTTGTAAGAAAATTAAAATGGTAAGGAATTTCAGAGATTATGACAATAAGTATTTAAGCAATTTTTTCTTAGAGCAAGTTTAGAAAGTCGCACTAGTAATTGGATTTAGTGTAATTCGGTGTAATTATATTGTCTGACATGTTTGGTTGACCATGTAATTATTGGGTCTGTAGGTAATTAAGTGTAATTAACATGAGGTAATTACATTTTCCAATTCTCAAGGAGGGGTAGTGAATTGATGGTAATAACATGGTGTAATTACAAGCTGATTAATTTTTTATTTTTTATTTTTATTTTATTTTTTTTGTTTTAATTTATTTTTATTATTTTAAAATGTTCTAAAAATATATATTTTATTTTATATTAATTATATTTCATTTTCTTCTCATTCTCGACCTTTGCTTCATGTGATTCCATGTGATTTTTCGTATTATTATTTTATATTTATTTTTTCATTAGCATAATTTTGTTAGTATTCTAGTTTTAAAATTAAAGTAGAGTTATTGTTGAATAAGGTTATAGATTTACATTTTTCTTTACTTTTAAATCATATTTATGTACGGTATGTTAAATTTGGCATAAGAGTATATTATTTTTTATATACACTGTATAATTTTTTTATGAAAATATTCGAGGGTCGTCCCCTGTGTCTACGTAGCTCCGCCAACCCTAAGGTATTAGGCCTACAAGACCTTCTTTTTTTTTTTAATCACAATATATCCGTTTACCATATAAACTTAATACCCTATTTACCTTGAATGAATAAATAAATATACGTTTTCTTGTACGTGGTGCACATTTTTCTGCCAACTTTCAGTCTGGTGTAAGATCATGTTTGATATTTGAGAGCCTTCTTTGATGATGGGTATTTATGTGATTTTTCTTTTTTCCCAATTCTTTTTTATTTTCATCCATATTTTTTGTCTGGATTCTTCCTTATGAGCACAAAGCCACAAATATTGATTTGACCTAAGTTAATAACTAATTAAACTACCAAGAATTGTGGTGGAGTGACTCCTACTTCATATCTGGTTCAAGTCGCCTTTGTTTTCAAAATAGCAATGTATAAACCCTAGCGTTAACTTTCATTGATATATACCTTCAAAATAGCATTGTATAAACCCTAACATTATGCTGATTAATTATATTCACTGTTTGGTGTGGTGTATTAATGGTAGTTTTGTCTTTAACTATGTATTAATAACCCTTATATTGATGTGGTGATACAGGAGAGCGCTTGATATGATTTGGTACAATTTAAGTTGAATATTTAGAGGTGTTGAAATCAGATTATCGTTAAATGCTAATTTGATTGCATATTAATGTTTATTTGATTTTAATCATTGAAATGGTTGTCAGAGTAAAATGATTTTTTTAAAGGTAAATTATGACTTTTGATTGTTTCAAAAGGAAGTGGGTGGAAGCTTTTACTCCGTGGAAGAGGGAGCCAAAGGAGGCTCAGTACAGTGAGTTTCATAAAAAAATTCCTAACATATTGGTATCAAAATTCATTTTCATATTTGTTTGTTGGAAATTATGCAGGTTCTGACTTTGTAAGTGAACCAATAAAGTTGAGTCGAACAGAACAGGAATTTTATTTGAATCCTCAAAATATTCATTTAGATGTTTACACGAAGAGGGCTGCTTTAAAAGTTTCCACATCTGTTGTCAGTCTTAAATCATACTCGGGTATTTATTCTTGATAGTTTTATTTCTTTTCTCTTATTTGTTGTCCTTCAATATTTTTGTTTCTTTATTGCTTTTGAGATTTAATTTTTTTCTCACTTCTATTAGTTTTTAGTTCTAACTTTTGTTAGCATTTTACCTGTTGTTATTTTTATGTTCATTGTCAGGGGAAAAGGAGATATTTAAATGTTCTGGGACTATCATAGAAAGTGTGGAAAGTTATAGCGTAATATTAACCTCTGCAAGTCTCTTTAGGTGTTCCACGAGTGGAAATTCTATAGTGGATAATATCAAGGTTGGTGATTTATTTTTATCCCGTTGTCAAATTTGTCTAATAATTTCTTTAATCAAATTAGTATTTGTTAATCTCTTGATCATTGGCGATCTTCTTTATGTCATTTCTTACCAAACTCTTGCTAGATTATTTGATATCTATTTATTTAGGTTATCGTGCACCTATTTGATGGAAGATCATTTGAGGGTCAAATCGAGTCAAATGACCTCCACTACAATGTTGTTGCCGTAAAGATTCAATCAAGACACACCACTTCCAATTGCATCCTTGGCTCATTTAAGCTATTCTATCACGATTGATTCGAGCCAGCTCCGGAGTATAAGTCATTTCAACTTTGTCCACATTCAAATTCATTTAATCTTATTCCTGGAGATATAGTTATTGCACTTGGACGTTTTTATGCGAAGCCATATGATATCACGGCTGCTCCTAGTGAATTCTGTTTGGTGTTTTCATTTGACTTTTACTTTATTGCATACTTGATTGTCACGTTTGTTAATGAGACTCAATTTCAATTATTTTTATGGTTGATCCTTGTAGCATTGATCGCTGCGAAGATGACTTTGAGTGTAAAGAGCTTCTCAAGGCGACTTGCAATATTATGAGAGTAACTCTCTTTCACAATTTTTTAAAGAAAATCCCTCTGACATTTATATCTTACTTTGGTAGTTAGTCACTTTGTTTATTTTGCTAATTCAGGGCTTTTTCCTTGTTATTGTAGTGCGGTATGGGCGGGCCGCTTATTAACTGCTATGGAGAAGTCATTGGTATCTGCTTTTATGATCCAGGCTCTATTGCATTTTTGCCAATCAATATAGCTTCCATATGGTGGGAGCATTATAAGAAATATAGGTACGCTCTGGATCTTTGCCTTTATAGTTTGCTTGATATGTCCATTTTTCTCTTTGCAATTGTCAGTAATGTGCTTGAATCTCATATCCGTAATGGATCTCTGTTTCAAATGTAATGAAGAAAAGTGGAGAGCGTTTAGACTTTTATAGAAAATCTAATCACAAATACCTGGAACTAATCTTTAGGTTTTATTTGTATCATAGACAATCACATCGACCTTGGCTTGGGATGGAAGTAACTAACCTTTATGCAGCTCGCCTACGAATTCTGGAAATATTAATTATTTCAAAGTTCCCTGATGTCTTGAAAGGTGTCATTGTTGAAGAGGTATGCTCTATATATTATTACAGCTTTTTTTGTGGGAAATCGTTCTTTTGATGGTATTGATGTCCCTATACTTTATAGTTGCTGAATTAAGTAGGCACATTATAGCACCAGGGTAGAATAGACAAGGTTTGGATGCAGTGATCAGGTGCCCGTTTGTATATGATACGCATAAAGAAATACAACAACTACACACATCAATCCCAAACTAGTTGGAGTTGGCCCTATGAATCCTCGCTGCCCATGTTAACTCATGTGCATAAAGAAAAATACTTCATTTTAATTTGTAAATGCTGAAATTTTGAACATGCTACAAAAGCAAAAGATAAGTAATAACGCGAATTTGATGTAGGAAATAGGAGAAGTGTAAAAGAATGGCAAACATCATCAATTATACCAAGTAGTAAACAACGTAGTTGCAACTTTTTCGCGCAGGTTGTTATGAACTTCTGTTATTAAAAGTTACTCTGTTCAACCATGTATGTTGTTAGTTGAAATTAGTTAAATCTTTGTTACTAATTGCTGGATAAAACGGGTTCAACAGGTCCTACCTGGTTCTTCTGCTGGGATAAAACATAATGATGTTATAATTCAGTTTGGTGGAAAAAGAATTCAGAGTTTCTTAGAGGTATATTACCTTTCTTGTTATTGTTTAGAGTATGGCAATTGCTTCTTCACAAGTTTGTGGGCTCCTTATGGTTGTATCGCTCTGTGAGCAACTGAGCATGTTCATTTTTATCGTTGTAGTCAATCTTTTGTGCTTGCTTTGTGTCTTATCATTGCAATGCAGGATGCAAACTGATTCTAATATGTGTGCTTTTTGTCATTAGCTATTCGAAAACATGTGGAATAATGTTGGAGAATCTGTGGAGTTGGTTGTGATAAGAGCAAGTGATGATGTTCCTGTACATCTTAGGATGGTGGTGGAGGAGGTCACATCAGATAAATCATACAGGTATCGTTTTTTTCTTTCTTCGTGATGATTTACCTTCATTCTCAGTGTCTTATAAAATATTCGTTATTTCAGCTGGCCACTTTGGGAGGAACGATGACATTCAAGAATAGTTACTTACATCTTAAGGGTTGCAGATAATGGTTATATAATCTGATGCTGCTTGGACTTCATAACATGTCTTGTCAGTTAAATCAAGCTAATTTTGCGCTATATTTTTGGTGATGTTTGCAGATAGAGTAGTAAGCAATTTGGCCCCAAAATACAATCGACTTTTTGGGAAACACTTCTTGAAATGGGATGTTCTCCAAGCATTTTGTTGCATTAGTATAACACCATACAAAATCTAGTTAGTAGTTTACCAAATTATCTTATAGTAAGTAATTTTTGGCTTATCTATGTATTTGTTGGTAAATACAAAAAGTATTGGCTTATGAGGTAAAATCAGTCAAAAAGAATCATAAGTTGGTCATCTTCAACTTATGATGGTATAGTTTCTAGACGCTTTTGATTTGATTTAAGCTTTTTGCTATTTTATCCGTAATATCTTTTGTAAATTACCTCTTTATTCTATTTTTATCGTTCATTTTAGTATTATATATTTATATTTTTCAATATTTTTAAGGAAGTTTAAGTCATTTTCATGAAAAGGAAAAAAACACATGAACTGATTAATTGTAAAATCAGTTCCTAACACCTAAAAAATGCTCGTCAATTATAGGAAACTGGCTATAGTTCTCTTCACCCAAACAAATAACAGAATTTTCCAAATTACATGTTTCATCAGTACTCAATTAGGTTATAAGAAGCTAACAAATAAAACTCACCACAATAAAGTGAGTAATAAAAAGAGAATGAAGTAGTGATTTAAAAATAGGAAAAATTATATAAATACACAATTTAAAATGTCATAATCTCTAAAAATTCCCTATTATTTAAAAAAACTACAAAAATTCTCCATCGGATACACCCTTGTCCCCTCTCGAGCAATGAAAACTTGGTATTATGAAGTCAAATTTAAAATAAGGTCTTTGAAATTATTTCAAAACTTTATTGGCAGGTTATTTGGTTCCTTTATTCGCCCTTGAAAAGTTAGCAGGTTAAGTAAATGCATTTAAATTAGGTGTACTCCAAATTGATTTAATCATTTTTTAAAAAATAAAAGTTAAACATTTAAAAGTTAGTACATAAGACAAACAATTGGAATAAATTACAATGTCATAGTTAATTATATACTAATAAAAGATGATTAACTATGCATAACTAATTTAGCTAGTTCTTTCTAGGTTTTTTGCGGAAGAGGAGAGGGTGGAGTACATGTACATGTAGTCATGATTTTTTTTGTTTTGTTTGGGTAATTTAGCTGCTCTATCAAAATTGTTTATTGCTCTTTTGTATACCAATTACGCGCACTATTATTTCACAGATCCACTTCATGAACTCTACAAATTTATACCTCAAAAAACCCAACTGCATTTGCTTTTTTCAAAACCAAAATAAGCTGTATAGTAGCACTCCTTTCAAAAATGACATCTAACTCATCACATTTGTTCCTACTTATAGAAAAAGAACAGGGTACTTCTTACAGAGGTATAGCACATTCAATTTACAAATCTCAATGAATCAGTAAGAAAATAAGATAGATAACGAAAGGAATGTTAAAAAAAATGGTACGGGTACACTGATGTCACTTCTACTTTCTCCTCCTACTTGAATATTCTTCGGCTGATAGATTTGCCGACTCTAGTAGACAGTATCAACCACGGAATAATCCCCACCTGCAAGTGCATTAAACAAACTATTAAAATGTCATTCAACCAAAAGACAAACAACTTTGGAAAAATGCAGGAGCTGCTGCTTTGATGTTGATATGTATGTTGCACAAGTGCTGGCTCTACCTTCAAACCCAAGACCTACCCTCCCCCTTACAGGAATGCTCTATTTTCAGTCACTATTTCCCCTAAAAGAATAAATGACAGTAGAGAAACAATGGCGACTAATCATTACCATAACATTTTCATTGGCAGGACCTCCAGCTCGCCAAGACAACATCTTGCCTGCAGAAGTGGAAGAACAATAGATCAGTATGTCACAGGAAGATAACTATCTATGGAAACAAGAACAAGGATCTCCCTAAAAGTCCGTGAAAGCAATATATCATAAATCACAATGGAAGACGAGCAAAGCAAATTGGTAAATGGGTGGACAATATTTAAAGCATACATAATGGTCACAAAATGTCGTGTAGGTATGGCTACTACAGCTCACTAATCTACGAATCAGAAGTATTACCAAAAGGCTGTACGAGCTGCTTAGATATGGAAGCCACAGGAATACGCCAAAACCAGATAATCAACAACAAGTATGTCAAGACCTGTGTGACTAAGGGGGGTAAATAAGCATCTTACAGCTTAAAGGAAGCTTGTAAAAATCACTAAGTGAATCCAATGCATACCTGAAAAATAGTTAGGCCTTTTGTGTATGAATCATGTGACAATTTCGCCTCTTTGTTGTGAATTTCTTGATCTGCATCAGAGGATGAGGACAAATTAAATTTATTGATAAGTTTCATCCAAATAGCATATGCTATAAAGAGAACACCAACAACAACAATAAGTTATATGCCTCAATCCCCAGCTGGTTGACGATAGTATGATTTATCCTCACTACCAATTTCACTTCATTTGGACCCGTTCCATTCCAGTCCAATATGTTAAGTTTTCTAACTCTAAAAACTCTCTAGTTTGTACGTTAAGCATACAAACATACCTAAACCTCAATATCAACTAGTTTGTATGTGCTGTAAAGACTGATGTGTAACTTACAAGTGAATAAGACAAAATGACGAGAAAGAAATATCAACATAGAGGAGAGCACTAGATAGGGAGGTGATATACTTTGGATCATAGCTAGTCGCATTACCAGACTAGAAAGCCACCTTCAAATTTGAAAAGTAGTCTGTTACATAAATTTCCTCAATCTGGCAAACCTACATTAGTGATTTAAATCCATGATTTACCCATCCTAACTACCAAATTTACTTGCTTGTAGGTCTCAAGACCACTAATATTACTATTTCAGCATTCCTATCTCTGATTAACTTGTTTAAGTTCAACACAAGGCATCCCTATAGAGTCTTTTTATTATTATTTTCAAATTAAGGGAAGTGTATTTTTTCAGTAATAAATTGTGGATTTTTCTCTTCCATCCTTTGGATCAATCCATTTGGTTGCATTGTAGCTTATGTTTTACAACTTCCAATATGAAGGATCGCAAATTGACAGTTTTTTCTCCTAGAAAAATCAGAATCCAAAACACAATGCCTTTCCAAGAATGTCATCCAAAGAATTTACTTCTCTGCAGGAGCTATTCATGCTAAACTTGATGTTTGATCAAAGTATCCACAAAACTTGTGCTTATTAACAAGGAAGAGTCAGCATATTAATCTGTGCTTTGTATGTGTTTCTGCTTGAATATGTATGGTTACATAAAGCCAGTAATTTGCAAAAGACAAGCACTAACCACAACTTCTCATAAGTCTAACTATAAGGAGGAGACAGACTTGGTTTATTTAGTCCAGCTACTGGAAGAAAACTTCAACTATCAGAATATTGTAGAAATTTTCTGTTGAGGCGACTTTAAAGGTTGAGCTGTTTAAGTTCCTCATGGTAGGCATCTGCATTTGGTCCATGAGCTCCAACATTCACAGGCTCCAAACACACAGTCCTTTGAAAGGAGTACAGCCACTGAGACCCCTTTCACTGAGATCTCCCCAAAATATCAATTAGCTTGATATCTCTATGCAAGCTTAAATTCCTTCTATGCTAGAATAGGATAGGACAGGGCAATACTAAGAAGAAGTCATGTTCAGGTGAAAGAGTTAGTATGTGCACCTTGTTCCTCTACAATAAGCCTCAAAAAACAATTTTTTTACTCTTGCATTCAGCTCAATCCAGGCATTCAATAGCAAAAGTACTAAAAACGATTTGAATCATCATAACATTGGCAGTTTGGCACAGCCTAATGTGCTTCCAACTATTTCCAGGTCTTCATTCATCTCATGGTTCTCTAGTGATGGTAATCTGAGTACACTGGAGAAATTCACATTCATTTTGGAATTCCATCACAGAATGCTTGTTCTATGCTTAGTAATGCTATTGATAAAACATCATTAGCTCTCTCGAGGTGATTCTTTCCATCATAAATGTAATTTGGTGGGATGGGGCATAATGAATGTATCTCTTGTCTATATTAGAGGCAGTATAAATCTGGGCACAATCATGGAAGAAGAACCACTTTATTAAGTGGGTCAAGAAATTGTCCCTGGCAGCAAGTTAGTGGAGAAAAGAGAGAAGACAAGTCCAATATTCCTTCCAAAAGTTACTATGTCAAGCCATCACAGCACAGGCATGTCTATTCCAATAGTCATTAAAGCTGCAAACTTCTAATCATTTTGAGACGAGGTTCAAAAGAGAAGATGAAAGTAGGACTCACAAATAATCCATCGCTCTACGAGCCATGAGGCCTACAACTATAGTGTTAGTCGATTCTAGATATGGATTACGAATACAGCAGGAACTATGCTAAAGAAGATAGAATGCAAGCCATACTTTTTGCAAGTTCCTTCTCCTTGGCTGTAGCTAACCTCCTCAGTTTTGCAGCTTGTGCAAATGTTGAAGGCCTGAAATACACGTGAAGGCATAATCATATTTTCCATATCATAGAACTTCCATAATGACAAGATCAGTTTTATTTATTACTCCATATGAAAAGAGAAAATTATCGTGTAGTCTCTTGAAGACTCCACTTCCTATTTTAATTACCTGTTACTAACTTATCAATAAGTACTTATCTATCAAGTATAACTACAGTAAGTAACTCTACTAACAGGGATAGTTTTGAAAAATCACAACAAAGAAAACATAACGAAATTTTGTTTAGGATACTTTGACGTACAAAGAAAAGATGAATAGTTATGACCAATACTACATGTGAGCACCCAATGTTGTGGCCTAACAGTCACTGAAACTGTGACGGACAGTACAATTTCAGGATTCAAATCCTAGCAAAGACAAAAACGACTAGGCGACTTTTTCATATGTCTAAACCTTGGT